AGGGAAGATAAAGAAGAAAGAGAAAAAGGTGAGATCTTCCAAAAACATTTTTTAGTAAAAAGCCTAAACTTGTGTGTAATTTGTTTTAATTAAAGGTCTGTTAGAGGAACTTGAAAATTCACTGTCTCTGCTGCAAAAACAAGCACTAGGAAAGAAATACTGCATGAATGTGAAGCAAACAAATTAAAGGAATATTTTTTAAACCACCTCAGTGATTTAAGTTATTGCCAACATTTGGAAAATGACTATGAAACTAAAAACTTTTGCCAGTCAGTGAGACACAGGTTCCTAGGTGCCTACAGACCCTTGTCTGAAAAGATATCAAAATGGAGTTAGGATCCTAATGCAGCAGAGCACAGGACATTGGGATATTGGCAGGCCACAAGCCTGGACCCAACCATCTTCCACCATCTGTATGTCACCCTGCTCTGGACACATCAAAGGCAGACTTCAGCTAGCTCTGCAAAAACCACCAGAGTTTGCCATAGGAGGCTGCAAAATGCAGCAGATGAACTTCTGAGTCCTCTTAGAGGTCTCCTCAAGCCAAAGCAGACGGTGCTTGTGATGTATAAAGAATAAACTTTGATGACACTTCTGTGTTACTGGTCTGTCCAGTTCCTCTGGATAAAGTGTTGTGCATGACAGTTTTGGGGGATTTTTATTAACTACCATGTAAAGAAAGAAAGGGGAAAATGTGAAATATTCTCTTTTGGTTGTGCTTCCCATTAACAAATCATAGTGTTTGACAATTGAGACAGCTCTGTTTAAAAATGTTCCAGTCTGGTTTTATGGGAGATGTGATGGCGTCTGGCACCTGAAAACAACATATCAGACAGTTACACTCACTTCTGAATCAACAAAATCTCTCCTTCATAAAAAGTAATGGGAAATTATCCATCACTCCACACTGCTCCTTTCATTTTTCCCACTGATTTCTGCTTTAGAGATTGGCCAGAAAATTCTGCTCATCTGTTCATATTCTCCTGTCGTGAACTTTCTGGTGGACTCCATTTGGTGTGAAAATGCCCCTTGCAGGCTAGGTCCTTGATGAGTTTTATTCTAGGCCTTCTGCTTCTATGAAAATGCAGAGCCTTACAAGTAATTTGGGTCTTCTCTTTGCACTGTGCTCTCCTGCCAACTGAGTTGGCAAACTGTGCAAATCATCTTCACAGCAGTGTTGTGACCGGGGTCAAGAGCGCTTTCCTTTCAAACAGACAGTCTTTGGACAGTTGTAGACTTTGAACCTTGTGCTCCCAGTGCAGTGAATGGGTTTGAAAACTGCTGATTCAGAGCTGAAAATCAGACTTTCCGACACCTTGCCCATTAACACGGGCAAAGCTGTTCGCTCCTGGTAGCAGCCTGTCTGCCAGTGAGGAGGTGAGAGGAGTGATGCTAGCACTTCTTCATAGGCAGCTCTGTCATGGCACCAGGTTTGCACTGAAACACAGGAGTAGCTTGTGTCAGAGATCAAGTTCTGCTTTGCACTCTCAGTTTAGCAAAAGTTGAGCACTGGTAAATTATGCACTGAGGGACGTGTAGAGCAAGCACTTTGACAACCAACTATGACAATTCTTTAAGGGCTCAGAAGGGGCTTCAGTGCAAGGAAAAATGAGTGGAAAAGTCAGATTAACAAACCACTGGAATTTGGAGCACTTTTATCCTAAAGCCAGGACCCAAGGTCTGCACACCTGGAAATTTCTCCATTTCTCAACTAGGTAAAAAAAACCCCCTTCTTTCTTTGTCTCTTTATTTTGTTGAATGCAAAAAGGATCTAATAGAAAGGCTCTTTACCTAGGTTGCTTACTGTTCTGCATCTGGATAAGAGAGTATTTTGCAAGGAGTGTTTCTCTCATCCCGGGCTGATTTCTCCTAAACCAGCAAATTACTGAAACTTCAGCCCAAACAGAAAGCTACATGATTGTGATTCTTGAGACTTTCTGATGATAGCAGAGGGACTTACGACATATCCATGCATTTGAGGAACACTGCTTATATTTAAGTAAGAAGTTGACAATTTCCACACCAAACACAGACAGATTTTAGCTGTAGAATTACTGAGAGAAACGTGTGTTCCTCTAGCTCCTGAGGTCTCAGATGTCCTGTGCTGATCTGCCTGCCACATCTGCTGCAAAGGTCAAAGCTGTAGCAAGTGGGATTTCTGTCCTTTTTTAGGGAAGTGTGGTACTATAAAGAAAACAGGGAGGGGACAGAAGCTATATAAGTCACATAGCTGCCTTCTAGTTGATGGGCAATCCAATGGAAAGAAAAGCTGTCTTTCCTCCGTGCCACGTATGCCTTCCTGAGATAAGCAGTCAGCACACAGAGATCTGCCATGTGCTCTGCATCACAAGTATAAATCAGAAGTCCCACACAGTGGTGCAAAGATAAGGACTTGATCATTTGCTGGGTTGCAGGAATGGTTGTTTATCTGCTCTGAGTCCGATGGCAGGGCCTGAGGAAGAAATCTTTGAACCAGGATTTTTCAGTGGATTTCAGGGTCTCCAACCAAAATCGCCTCCCTTCTTCTTAAATTCAGTTGTAGTTACATATAGCCCACTAGGAATTTAAATTCAAAATTAAAAAGTAACCCGGTTTTCCTACACAGCACTGAGTTGATTCATTGGGGAAGTTCTCACTCTATCACGCAATGAAACAATGGGATGCTGGCTCCATCCATCCTTCAGTTCAGCCTATTGTGAAATTATCAGTCTTATTTCTCTGAAACAGCGTGTTTACACTGCTGCTTCATGAGTGATTAATGTTACTAAGTAGCAGAAATGAGACCATGTGGCCACTCAGTGCATCCTGAATTTATCACTTTGATAAATAAAGCCAAAGTAGATTCAACTATATTTTGCCTGGTTTTTTTCCAATTTCTTTCAAGTTAGGTACCATTTCCTTCCTAGGTTTTTACTTAAAGTTCCCTTCCTTTCCCAAACCTTCCCAAACCTTACCTTCCCAAACCTTCCCTTCCCTTCCCAATCCTTCCCTTCCCAAACCTTCCCAAACCTTCCCAAACCTTCCCTTCC